TTACATGAAGTAAGGCCAGAAGGGACTATGAGTTCATCTTCTGACACCCATTGTACAGGCACATTGCATTTATTCTAAATATTTCCTACCGGATGTTCCTGACCTGTGGTAGACAGCAGTTTGCCCTCAGTTTCTATTTTTATTGGAAATCTTGGCCCTTACTTCACTGCATGATTGTGCAGAACGATTGTGTTGCGCCTGGCCTGTGAACACTACATCTGGGAAGGCATGGCTAATTTTGCATGGACCGACCTGGCATTTTTGGATGCTTCAAGTCTACTGCACTTTTGCAGTAAGCCATGTGATACCAGAGGGCATGAAGCGCACACCTCTTCCCTGCACCCGAAACAAAGGCAGATGCCTGCTTAGCTAGAGAAATTTGGCACCGCTGTATTTGCAGACTCAATGACCTTGGAGAGTCAAATATTTCTGTTCCTTAAAGACCTCACTGACACACTATGGGTAGGGACTGTCAGGGTCCTGAGGGTGCCAACAGGCCTTAATGGCCCTCACCAGCCTCACCTGGGGCCTCCACCCACACACCTGGTCCATGGGTTGGGAGCTCCATTTAAGCTCAGGCCTGGCCAGGTAATCCTTCCTTGGCTGAGCTATGTTATAGGTGTGCTTGTTTTGAGTCCTAGCTCTAGCCTTGTTTTTTGTCTGGACTTGACTGCTAGGTGAACCTCAGACTTGCCTCCAGCCTTGTTTTGGGCCTTACCTCCTGCTGGTCCTGACTTGCCTCTCTGGATGGACCCTGGACCTGCTTTGTGCCCTTGTTGTGACTGTTGATGGAGCCTGTTCCCAGCACCCAACTTTGCCTGTCCTGCTGCAGGACTGCGCCCTGTCGGTGAGGATACTACCTGTGCTGTGGTCACCCTTGGCTCGTAGCTCATATTGCCTCAGGAAGCAGTGCTGTCCTGTCTGCTTGCTGACAGAGATGAAGGGAGCTCAAGGTGCCATACTGGCAAAGAATTGAGATTTGCTCAGGTATTTCCAGTCTGCAAGCTATAATGCCTGTTGCAGAAAGAAGGAAAAAAAAAAACCCCAAACAAAAACCAAACTCAAATTCCTGAGCCTCATGTGGGAAAAGTTCTGTAGTTCTGGATATGGTTTGGGGCAAATGAACAGACAACTAGATAGATGTTACTTCAGATCACTAATTACTGAAGACCAGACCCAAGTATAAAGTGGAGAAAATCTTTCTGATCCCTATAGCCCAGAGGCATGACAGTTGAGGATAATCTGTACAACTGTCTCAAAACAGAGCTGGATGTACATCAGCATTTTAAGAGCACTGAAAATAATCTTTTCAGCGACAGCTACCATGAGGATAGCTTACCTCGCTTTAGCCTTGATAATTTACTTCAATTGATAAAGATTTGAACCATCTTTACAAAAACAAGCATCCTCAACAACAAAACATTCAGAAACAAATTACAACTATTGATAAAACTACCTACCTGCTTGGATTTTTCTTCAAGTTAGCAGCTCTGCTCTTGAGTACCTTGACTTTAATGTCTTGCCCTGTTTATCATCAACCTGCCAGGGAAGGATGACATAGTGTCAGGCATGAGTGTAACATGAGTGACATTAAAAATGCTGATGACTTTGAAGAATGGGTCATAAAAGAAAAGTCATGAGAGAATTCTGTAAAGGGCATAAACACTTCAAGGTAAAAAGATGAAGTGACATCAGTGAGAATGTTAAGATTTGAAGGTGCAAATAATGAACTACTACAGAAGCTAGTAAAGAAAACAGAACTTCAGAGCATTTTATACCAGCAAGTATTAAAAAAAAAAAAAGCTATACACATAAAGCTCGTTGCTGAATTCCTTTGTGTGTTAGTGTATCTCTACAAGACGTTCTGTTAAATTTTGCAATGCAAGTTTCTTATTACTTTCCTAAACAGTATGCACTCATGGTGCACACTTCCCTAAATTACAAGGGTTGACAAAGTACCTTCCCAAAATATCTTGCCTGTATCCAAAAGAGGTAACAGCCCATTTATGCAATTATCTGATTTTTTTTTTTTCTAGTCACTGGTGAAACTCTAGAAACTAGATGAAACTCTAGAAACTAGATAACTTTCAGCTGTTAGTGTAGTTACAACACTTTTCTGTGAGAAATCAGTAAACAAATTAAGTTTCTACAGTTGGAGCTGTTAAAGCAGTATGATTGCTGTGGCGGCGGGAGGCTTTTCCTGAGCAGAATCCCAAAAGAATACAAATTGGCTGGGGAAAACCACATCAACAGGGACTATAAAGCTTGCTTCAATAACTCATAGAACAGTTGCTTTCCAGTAGAGACTTAAACATCAGTGCGACTTCAACAAAAGCTATGAATTTCCCAGGTATATTAAAAAATGTAAAAAGGCTTGAGAGTTTTCTGTTATAAAGGACTTCTTCCATATTTTCTGGAAGAAATCTGTCTACCTTTGCTATGTATTTTTTTATTATTGGAAAAAATGTGTATTGTAACGGCCATTTCCCAAATATATAAATGACATAATGATCAAACAGTACAAAATAAAGTTTTTCCCAGTGCTGAAGCAAACTTAATTTTAAGGAATGTAACCTATTAAGGGAAAAAATGAGTAATTTCTGTTGAAGGCAGTTTGACACAAGCAGGAAGAAAAAACGTTCCAGCAAATTTGTTTGGAAATGGTTTCATTTTACTTGTGCAAGCATTGAGACCCATTTGACTGTTTTCTTTGTGTTTACAGACTGACTTTTAAAAAAGGGATTTTGGTATATGAAATACTTGAAACTCGGGTTAAGATGTATGGGGCAAAAAGTGCATGAGAAATATATGAGTAACTGCAGAAAACTGAGAGAAAAGCTGCCAGCATTAACTTTCTCACCAGTGCCTGGCACCAGGCACCTTCCTTATACCATGCACCAGCATTCAGGGTACACGTGGGTTGGTTTTTTTTTGGGAGTTGAGGACAAAAGTTTAACTAAATGCCTGCTGGAGAGCCCTATACGCTGTACTCAAAGAGACATTGCAGAAAACCTAAAAAATTACAAAAAGTGTTGACAGCTGCGGAGATGATATTGGGTTTGACCTTCCTGATTCTAAAAAAGCTGAACTTTTTTTTTTTTTTGTAATATCTACTTCCTGCTCTGATGCATTTTGAAACTTGAGTATGAATAAAAATACCGAGCATTTTTTGCTAGATATAGAACTGTAATTGTAGACAAAAGAAATACTGATGTTCTAGCATGAAGTAGCTAGTTAAACGCTTAAGAAAAAGCCGTGTACTTTATTGTATAGGCTAATTAAAGCTATTTAGGTTTTGGCTGCATGCACCCGCAGGTCTAGAAATATGCATTTGTTGGAAAGGGCATGGATGAGCATTTCTAAGCAGTGGCAGGCGGTCCCCGGGGCCACTAACGCTCTCCATCGCCGGCTGAGAAGGCGGCTCCCGGCTCCGCCACCCTCTCCGCCGCACCCCACGGGCCCCCCCGCCCCGCACCAAGCCCACGG